CAGACGCTTTGGCTCGACAAGGATCAGGTCCGGAGCTGAGTCTCTCCGAGCCCGAGCCGGGGGCAGAAAGGGCCCAAAGCACACGCCGAGCAGCTTGCGCATCTGGTGGGGCTGTGCGTTAGAAGAAATCCCAAGCGCGCTGGTGCGGAGGGCAGCGGCTGCCGGGCTGCCTGCTGAGCACGGCGTCCCTCCCGGGGAGCTGCTACGAGAGCCGGGGAGCTGAGAGAGGAACGACCCGCTGCTCTCTGCGAGAAGGAAAAAGCTCTCCTGCCTGCACTGACAGCCTGGCGGGATGGGCACAGGGGAATGCCATCGCTCCATTTTAGCACCCATCATTTTTACCTGTACTCCTCGCTAAACTCTCCCTCACCCCTCCCTGGCGGAGAGGCAAAGTCTGCAGTCAGTAATGGGGGGAGGAAGGGACAAACATTTGATGCAATAGTCACATACTATTAAATACTGTCTATAAACTGTGAATAGATGCTTGGATGAAAATTGAATCTAAGTAATTGACACATCCTGCCCCTGGGCTGCTCTTACCACAACCTCCTTCCTCACCACCCCCAATCTGCCTAGCAGGTCCTTCTGCAGTGTAGAAAAGGGGGTAAATATTTCCCTAGCAATGTGCATGCCCTTCAGTATCACCCTGCAGGTTTGTATTGCTGAGTTGCATTGACAAAAAGCATCTGAGATTGGCAGCTTCCTCTGCCAAGAAGATCCATCAGATCTTGGATATGGAACACTGGCCATCAGGTCATATCTCCCATAGTGGAAGAGGTTCCCTGGCCCTTCACAGAGGCTGTACTTCTCAATGTGCAGGCTGCAGCAATGGTTAAGATGTTTTGGACCTTTAGCTGCTTGTGGAACCAGCTGCTTAGAAGTGATTATAAATCTTTGAGTTTGTGTTGGCCATCTCAGATTTGCACACTTGTAAATGAGGCTAGAAGTGTGATTGGAACTATTGTCTCTGTTCTGAATACACAGGCTCCTGCAGTTATCTTCCCGGTAATATATCTATTAGCCGGGCTTCAGCACAGTAAAGAGTAGCTAACTGGTGATCCCTTGGGCTGACAACCTTAGCAAGCGTCCTGAAACTGTGGGTAACCAGCAGGAGCATCAGCAGAGGGAAGTTATGCTTCTGCCTTTCTGCCCAATCTCAGTCCCTGGATTCCTACCAACCATTTAACAGAATTCTTTCTCTCTCCGTATTTTTAGCATTTCTTGTCTGCTTTGATGCTGTTTATACACATCATTTTGCAGTCTGAGCAGGAAGGCAAAAGGTGTGTACAGTAAAACATGACAAGAGATAAAGTTAGCTGAACTTTTAACCTCATGGGAAACATGGAACACTTCATCCTGCTAAGTCACTTCCCACAAAAGCTTGATTTCCCCTCTGGGGAAAGATGTTATATAGGGACCTGTATGAATAATTATCATGTTCATGCGTAAAATGAAAACCTTCAAACAAATAACAGCCAAGTTCAACACTAAATGCTAACTTTGAAGCTTTTTTGGTTAAACAAAAAAGTACTCAGTGTCAACAGAAATATTCAATTTGATCCTGTTTGAAATGTTTTGCTTTGACTTAAACATTTTCAGCCCTTCTTAAAGCAATTTTCCAAAAGACAAACATAATTTAAATGATTTTTTTAAAAATTGGAAATTTCCTATTTTTTTCCCCAACTTAAACACAATAAATTCAGACCTGAACTTCTCAGATGTACTCTTTGGGGCAAATAAACTATTTGTCAGGGGAAAAAAAATGCCAGCTGAGAGAGAAAAACCAAATCACCTCTAGCAAGTGGTTCCATGCTGGCTGCAGTGCTTTGCTCTGACAAGGTAAAGAAATATTTCCTGAAAAAAACACTGAGAATATGTCCAATAGAAAGGTAGCCTAGCAAGTGTCTAGAAGGAACCAGACCCTACAGGAATGTTTAATCTCTGAAGCTTGTGTACTGAACTACTTGGACTGAGCAGGATAATTAGGACAACATATCTCAATGGTTTGTATTTACTGTAATTCTCCTGTGAGTTTCACAGCCCCTTTCCATCCCACAGCTAGTTTCTCAGGGTGTGTGTTCCTCAGTTGTTCCAACCCCACAGAACCACATCCCACAGGGGCCCTGCCTGTGGAGCTGGGAATGCACTTTATCTGTAGCCCAGGTCAACTCTTCACCTGCATCTGTCCCACACCACTGCCAGCTGCTCCTTCAACACACATACCTGGCAAGAGGCTTTTTGAACATATACCCTTCTATATAAAAGGTGACAGAACTCAGAGTTATCCATGGTGATGCAGGAGGGGAAAAAAGGTTGAGTAATGGCTGATTTAGCTTATTCTCCCTGCATCAAGTTTTGTCTGACTCACATGCTGCTTCCAAATGGCAATGGTATTGATGACTTTAATTGCTTGTGAAGGACAGTAATTGCAGTCTGAAAAGTACATAATTTAAGTATACTGAAGTTCATCTGGCAGTTCATCTAGGGACAATTATTTCAGTGCAGTAATTTTACTTAAAGGAAAGGATTGTAAAGATGTGAAGAATGAAGGAATAATCTGCCAAAGTTTTACTTTCACTGTATTTGCATCAGATCTCTCCCTGAATATGCAGTCACATAGTAGAAAAAAGGGATACTGGTTCAGCCCAGCCCAATCAAGGATATATTAGCCTTTATTTCATTGCTAAATAAAAGCTGGTAAGTACAGGGGTGGTAGAACTGAGGAAAATAGAGATAGTGCTGTGACAACAGTTCTCCCCTCTCACCTAGCAAAGCTATCCTTGGGGGGATTTTGAAAATACCCTGCTAAAAGAATTTAGACAGAAATGCCAGAAAAGGCACCTGGGCAGACTCCCCAGCTTGATGGTACCTGAAGTTGTGTGCTGAGCTTCAGGCCGAGTCCTTGCACCAGCAATTCTGAGTAATGCCTGCCTGCTGCTTCAAAGCACAACTCTGTGTCATCTGTGTCTTTACTACTGAAGCCTAGGGTTATGATACCAGAAAAATTCTTGCATAGAGGTGTAGAAGGAGCTGCAGTGGAGTCACAGCAAGCAACAGAGTTGTTCTTGCACCTAAGCACAGCCTACAAAAACTACAGAAACCTATATTGTGGCCCTGAAATGCATTAATAGCCTTAACAGCCCTGACAAGCCTCACCTGGCCATCACCCACCCCCTCTGCCCATAGGCTCCAGAGCTCTATAAGCCCAGGCTTGGGGCTTTACTACCAGCCTGAGCTATCTTGTAGGCATTTTGATCTCTAGCTCACCTATGCTGATGTATAGGTTTAGACTAGGACCTATAGACTGTTTTTTCAGCTTGACATTATATCTGTCTTGTTGCTGTGGATCTACCTAGCAGCTACTGGATTGTTTCTGATGCTGGTAACCTTCTTCCAACCTAAATCTGACTATGACTTGCAGGTGGTTTTCCTGGCTTGGTCCTAGACATTCATGAATGTATTCAATGATCTGGACTCCTGAGTGAACCTGACCATCATTTCTAAGACCTTCCTACTTACCTCACTCAGGGGACTATGCCCTGCTGTGCTGTCCCTGCCTTTGCCTTAGGAGGTAAGTAGCCATTGCTGGTCATCCTATTCCAGAGCTAGGCTAAATATGGCCCAATTTAGTAGGCTTTTCAGGGAGACTGAGGAAGCTGCTGGACTGTAGGCAGTAAGACTTTCATGACTGACTGATCTGAGGCAAGAGGGGCATTTCTGATAGCTTGTGATACCAATGTCAAGGTGTGTACTGGTTGCTGGAAACCACTGCTCTCGTGGTTATCTCTCTCTGCTTGTCCAAATCCAGAATGGCAGTCTATCATAGAGCACTAAGCATTTACAAGGCTAGAACATAGAAATTGGCTGACTAACCAAGTACTAGAGAAGTGCTACTATCTGTCTTTATGTGACTCTAAAAATAAATGTGCTCATTAACTATCTGCTGCCTATTTGGAATGTGTCAAAACTCTTCTGTATATCACAAGTGTTTACCACTGATTGCTAAGCACATGTAGCGAAGGAAGGTGATGTGGCCTAGGGATTAGAAAACTTAAGGAGATTGGGGAGGCATGGCCTTCAGCCTTAATGCTAACTGATTTTTTTGCATGGCTATAAGCAAGATATTCAGTCCCAGGTCCCATCTACCTCCATGCAGTGTTTTGAAATCTGGGATTGGCAAGTGCTATCTAAATGCACAGGATGATAATGATAATATGTTACTGCAGCAGGGACACTCACAGAAGATATGATTCATCTGTTGGCGCCAAGGCTGATGGCTGGAGGCTATGAAACATGTTGGGTGCTTGAGATGGAAGAGTGCGTGGGCCAGTGAAGTTGCTGAATCTGTGTGGGGGGATTGAATGGATCTCTGTTTCCTCAGGCTGCACACACAGTATGTTGTCACCTACCAATTATTACACGGCATATCCTTTTTTCCTCCTCCTCATCTTCTGATTCTATATGCAGGCCAAGGACTTGTTGTAACTAGCTGATTGATATATTTTCTTTACTCATCAGCAAGATGCGTCTGGATCAAAGCCCAAGATCTAATCACCCTGGACTTTGCAACCATTGAAATCCAGATCCAGTTTATTTATATTGCAACTTTGGTTATAATCTGTTCTCATATGGTATAAAATGGAGTTGATGGAAAAGGGTCCAAAGAAAGAAGGAGGACCATGGCTTGCATTTTGAGATCAATAACTGCAGCAGCACTGCCTCTGCAAGGCAAGCTAGAATAATTATGTATACAGGAACTGTGGGAATTCTGCTGAAGAAGATTGGGCATAAATTGACAACTTTTCAAGTATCTAATGACCAGAAGGAATTTCAGTTTGATATCACCCACTTAGGTTCCAGGCTAAGTGATCACCATTTCGAACCTCTTGATGATGATGCCATCTGGTTTTCCAGGTGAAAAGGGCCACTGGTCTTTCAGCTGCCAGTAACCAGTGGTTTTACTGGCAGTCTTAGCAGATATTGCAAGAAGTACTCGGACCATGAAGAGAGAATTCCCCTGTTGTCCTTTTGAGATCGCCTCACTAGTACCAGGTAAGCTGATGATGCAGGATGGAGAAGGCTGTGCAGATGATCTAGAGCAGCTCTGGACACAACTGGAAGCTCAAAGGTATTTTTGAGAAAAATTAATAGTTCAGGAAGAACTTTAGTTCAGGGATTATCTAAGGCCAAGAGATAAGAAATGGAGCAATTTCTTTAGGTTTGGCTGAAAATTAAGAAAATGCATAAGCCTAATGGCATCTCAGGCTTCCCAGGGGTAATGCTTCCTGGAGGAGGTAGTGAATATGCCAAACACATTGAGACTACTAAGAGAGGACAGAACTATGATCTCATGGAATTACATTCAGGAATGAGGGGTAAGGTGGAGACTGTAAACAAGAATAATTTTGAATGTTTTGCAGAGTGAAACTAGGCAATTTCTGGGTATCTTTATCATTCTTTTACAGTCACTGTTCCTTCCCCTCTAGTCACGTTCCACAAATAGGTCAGGAGTAATTCATCTTTCATTTCAGGATGTAAGAGTGAATCTCCAGAGACCAGCTACAGCTTGAGAGAAGGCTGTAACACAGCTGTCATAGACTTCAGTGGGGCAAGAAACTTACCAAGCAGAGATACTGCTGGCAGCCAAAGATGTCTTCAATTTTTTTTTCCTCTGCAGTGATGAACATGCACAAAGTGTACCTCTATCCCTGCAAGATGTCTTCTACTACTGTAGCAAATACCTGAAAATCATTTGACTTTATTCAGAGGACTGCCCTGTGAGTAGGAAGAATAGGTATTTTACTTAAGTGACCCCCAAAAGCACTTTGAGAATTTTATGTTATTCTTCATAGTAGATAAAGAAAGCCTGACTTGGTATTTTCTTTCCCTTTTTTGTTTATGCTTGACAAACATCAAAGATGTTGATGTGCCCTTTCTGATTTTGCTATAAACAGTGGTCTCTGACCATGCTGAGGGTGTGCACGATACTAATGAGAAGCAAAACCTTTAACAGAAATTTGACTTCCAAGAAGTTATTAGGCAGTGCAATTGAAAATGTGACAAAAGAAAGGCTAGACAATTCTGGATGATCTGATAAAGATTTCCAACTTTGTTTTGTGATGTACCTTCATACATTGGAGGCAGGCAAGATTTAGATTATGAATGTAAAAACTTTCTTAAAAATTACAAACCTCTTATAAATCCAAAGACTCTAGACTTCTCTAAGCTTTATAAACAGTGAGACAAAGCATGTCCCTAGTTCTTATTTAATTTTGTATATTTTCTGTTCTGTACGAGTCTTTGTGGTATCATCCTTATTACACCAAGAGCAATGCCAGGAACAGAGATCATATGCCCCCTTAAATACCAGAAATTCTCTTGCTATTGCAGTATTCCTAAACATGTCTGCAAGCAAAGTTTTCTTCAGTAATGAAGGCAAACATAGGGTTACTGAGACAGGGTGGCTCCAAGTATTGAATCTCATTTGCCTTTCACAGGGTAAGGAGATAAATTACATATAAAATGGATACTAGTCGTATGGACAACCAGTGCCTATCTTAAATTTGTGCCTAGATGATAGCTTTATTAATGAGGCAGACAGAAATCTTTTTACCTTTGCAATATCTACTTGAGATGCCCCAGGGCAGATCAGAGACTTTGAATTATTTGTTTCTGCTCGTACAAGATCTAGTAGATATTTTCCAATCTGAAATAGAATGGCAATGACACTGCAACTTGTGTCTTGTAGCCAGGTAAAATACTGAGTAACATAATTAAGGAAAATACAAATAAATTGTTCCCAAATTGTACTTGGCTTGAAATCTGTTTCACATCTGAGTAAGAGCTACTCAGATGGTTGAAGACTAGGGCACCCCACCTACAAGGAATGGTTAAAGGAGACAGACTTGCTTAATCTGGCAAAGAGGCTAATAGGGGATCTAATAGCAACCCACAACTAGTTAAAGGACAGTTTCAAAGACTGTGAAACCACTTCTTGGTAGTGGCAGATGCTAAAACAAAAAGCAATGCCCCCAAATTTCAGCTTAGAAACTCAGGTTGGAGCTTAGGAAAAGCTTTTTCACCAGGAGAGTGGTGCAGCACTGGGGCAGGTACCCACAGAGCAGGTGAGATCTCAGTTTTCAGAAGTTTTCAAGATGGCTAGATTATGCTGGTTTTGGTGCTAACTCTGCTCCAAACACAAGAATGGCCCAGGTAACCTCCAGAAGTCCCTTCTGTCCAACGCTTTTGTGAGTCTGTCCAAAAGCCTGTTTTCTGCTGCTAGATCTTTTGGTCTAATAAAATGCTACTTTTCCCTCCAACCCTTGCCTCACTATCACCTTCAGATCATCACAGGTCTAACAGAGCTGCTACTGCAATCAAACCTGTCAAATCTGAGAAACAGCAGCTGAAGGTCTTCTCTTCGTCATTGCCTCTTTCAAATGGATGATTCTTTTCCCAAAATTCTCTGAAATGAATTCTGATATTCCCTGAACTTAATTTCCTGATTCCAATACAGAAAAGTATTTAAAGGCTTAACTTAAACCATGAGAGTCTACTCACATGCTTCTTATCAAAATACATGCTTAAGTGACCTGCTGGATCAGAATTTATTGGAGTAGTTCATATTGTTTGGATTTTGGGGCTCTATGCTTTGATTACATAATGCAAACTTTGAAGGAAGCTGCATGACCAAGTCCCAGTTAACTGTGCTGTCCAGCCCTGGTGTCGGATTCTAATTGTATTATCTACACAGTTATGCTTCCAGTTTTATCTTGACAGTAGTCCACTCTCACTCAGATCTCCCAACAAAATTTTTCTGTTTGAATTTCTCTGACCTTTCTGGGACAGGTGGGATGTGAAAGCCTGGAGAGGTCACTGATTTTTCCCTTGTTCATCTGTTCTTCTACACCCCCAGACCTTCCCTGCACCTTTGAGAAGAGTGACAGCAATATATCCTGTAGTCAGGAGCTGCAGGACCTCATGAATCAGCCGCATTAAGACACGGTAACCTGGCCAATCACTTATCCTATCTGTCATCTATGGGCCTAGAAGAAATGAGGTCCTTGATTCAGAGAGGAGATACAAAAATACATTATTAAATACTTAAATGCTATCTCTGCAGAATGGATTTATTTTTTATTTTTTTTTTTAGTGGCAGGAACCAAAGAGCAGTGCATATTTTAGACACTGGGGACTGAGGCTGGCATCCTCAGGAACATATCTCCTCCTGCTGTCTCAGGGAAAAATATAGTCATTTAGGCAGATCTGATTCAAAATAAAACTAGGGTGAAAATGGGAGGCTAGGTGAAAAATGAAGGAGGAACATATCTCCTCCTGCTGTCTCAGGGAAAAATATAGTCGCTTAGGCAGATCTGATTCAAAATAAAACTAGGGTGAAAACGGGAGGCTAGGTGAAAAATGAAGAGAGCTAAAAATTTCAAATGTGCTCTTATTTTAACTCTTGACACATTTTTGTTCTGTTTCAAATCATTTTAAGCAGAGGTTGAGAAAATAATGAGATTAAAATAGAGTTTTAATTATTAATGTCTTCTGGACTTGGGTTTTGGAGACCCAGGTAATATCTGTGGCTCTGCCACTGGCTGGCAGTGTGGCCCTGGGTATGTCACTTCAATCCTTAATGTCACTGTTTCCAGCCTGTGAAATGGAGATTGTAATACTGACCTCTCTGAAACTTTTCAATATGTATGGAAGAAAAATGTGTTTAATATAAGTAGTATTACTTATTAAGCAAAAATGTGACCTGAAAATTTCTTCCTGTAAATATTTTTGGATCAAAATGTAACAGAAAAATGTGAAAAACATTTTTGTTTTTTAAATAATGATGCCAGCATTTCCATGGGGGAAAAAATAATTTAGGGATCATGGTCTTTTAAAATCAGTATTGAGTTTAGAGCAGATATAATCCTAATAAAAGTGGTCTTAAATTTGGTAATCAGCATCTCACTTACAAGGATACCTGTTTCCTGGAAGATGACAAATAATTCCTCCCTTTCCCTGCCCCAGTATTAATATGTGGAGCAGACTTACTTGGACTATCCAACTGTGTATTTATACAAATGTCTTCTCAGATATGATCGCCTGTGGTGGTTGTCAGCTCATAGCAGCTGCGTTGTAATGAGTCTGCATAGAGACACTTCATTTGAAAATCAGAAATTTGTAGCACCAAAACACCCCTATGGGTCTAAATCCTTAGCAAGACAGTTCCTAAGCTCGTGTTCCTGCAAGGAATTTACAGCTTGGGGAAAAAAAACATATACTGAAAAGCTCTATATTACTGGATTTACGAAGACAGAACTTAACTGTTCATTAAAGTTGCATGAATAGGATTTTTTTTGTTTAAAAACAACCAAATAACCCTCTAAAAATTATTAACTGCCCCCAAATGACATTTGTCTTGGGGTATTCTGTTTTATGTTATGCTTTATTTAGCCTTACTAATATTTTTGTTCAATGTTTAAATGAAAAATGCCTTTTCAAAACAAAACTTCAACTAGTTTAATTTTGAAAGTATTGAAAAAACCCTTTTCTATTAAATATCCCTTATTTTTTTTCCCCTTTGCCAAAGCTGACCCAATTTACAAGTAACTTGCTTCCTCCCAAAGGTCCATTCTTCATTCACAATATTTTATCTGCTCTGCTACATGCTGACACCTTTATAATCTGTGCCCCTAGGGTGAGAGGGTCAAAGTAGACCACTGTTTTCCAAGTGGCTTCTCTGCTGGGTGCCTGACTAAAACCTGTCCATTCCAGAGGCTGGTGGGAGTATGAAAATGTAATCTGAGCTTTTACAAAAGCTCAGATTGCTGAAAGTAAATAAACAGGAAAGTAAGTTGTTATATTTTGTGCTGTGATTCTCTGTCGTCTCATTATTTAAGATGGATTGAGGAAAAGAAATGGAAGCTGAAATTATAATATGAAAATGATCTGCATAACTGCAGCTATATATGATTTCTGCTGCCTCGTGTAACAGCAGACCGTCAAAGCCCTTCTGTCGTACTGCCACCTGGTGATGCTCGGAGAGGAAGGTGCCAACACAAAAGATGCTCAGAATGAAGACTGCCCATCCTACCGCTGAGACCTACAAACCAGGTAATGTCTGGAGCTAGG